CTGACAAAATGAATTTCGCAAAAAAGATTACACGACCACAGGTCTCGCGCTAAACACCCGAGTCAAACAGCAATGAGAGCTCTCAATACCGAACTAGTCTCACGTCGTCATCGACAAGCTCAGATCCAACTCCAGCTGTTCCTTCTCGTTTTGCAGCTGACAAACACCAAATGTGATGCTGAGTCACAATAATCTCACTTGTCTCAGAGAGATCTCTTTGTCCAGCAATTCCTCTCTTAAGGAATGAACCAACTTCTTGGCTTCATCGATGAGGCCACTTCTGCTGCGATTCAAATCGCGAAGAGTGTCGATCTCAACTAAGGAGCAACTTCAACCACGCTCAAGCTCGACGTGCTCCTACGTTTGATACAATCATATCTCTCCTCGCTACGGCGGGCTTCCTCCAAGAGCTCTTTGAGCTCGGTATTGAGCTTGTTGGCGACCTTGTCCTCAACCTCTCCCTTCTTTTTCTCACAGGGTCTGAAGATATGCCTACTTACCCCGATTGGCTTTTAATTACTTCTTAGAATTGATGCCTTCCGGTTCCGAATTATGGGATGAAGCCGCGGACGCACCTGCATGTGACAATACTCCAGATAGCCTCAGTCGAGTCCTAGGCTTACCAGGAACTCCCACAACACCCGTCTTGTCCTCTTCAGTCTTAGTCATTGGCTCAGCTTCAGAGTGAGCAGTCGAAGGCTTCGGTGAAGTGGCCTTAACAACGGTTTGGTCGGAGAGTCCCTGGCCTGAACGAAGGACTATTTGAGCTCAATACCAAAAGCGGGGAATCTGGCGCAGCTATTCTGCAGCCTGCGTGGCTCACTTCTCTGCGTGTCTGCGCCTTGACTCCCCACCACGGTGGTCACGGAGCCCATCGAATCCACTCGGCTGGTCAATCTTGGGGGTAGATATGTCGAAAATGGCGTACGAGGGATGACCAACGAAGGAGCTGGGAACACTGAAAGGTCACGCCAGAGCTGAGCGGAGGAGAGTGGGGGTAACGACACTCACGAGATGGCCAGAATACGGCAGGCTCGGAGCCAGCACTGGGGGTAGGTGGTATCGAACCGCTAACCGTGAGGGATATGGCTGGGCAGCTGGGGGACATGGCTGAGACAGTCGATGAAGACTGTGGAGGATCTGCAGCT